CTAACTTTAAAGAATTAAGGAAATTAGTTAGGGAAGTGGATTGGACTGTAGAACTTGGGGATCTAAAGGTGGAGGAGGCCTGGAATTACTTCAAGTCAAAGTTGCAGAAACTATCAGAAGCCTGCATCCCAAGAAAGGGGGGGAAATTCATAGGCAGGAGTTGTAGACCAAGCTGGATGAGCAAGCATCTCAGAGAGGTGATTAAGAAAAAGCAGAAAGCCTACAGGGAATGGAAAATGGGAGGGATCAGCAAGGAAAGCTACCTTATTGAGGTCAGAACATGTAGGGATAAAGTGAGAAAGGCCAAAAGCCATGTAGAGTTGGACCTTGCAAAGGGAATTAAAACCAATAGTTAAAGATTCTTTAGCCATATAAATAAGAAGACAACAAAGAAAGAAGAAGTGGGACCGCTAAACACTGAGGATGGAGTGGAGGTTAAGGATAATCTAGGCATGGCCCAATATCTAAACAAATACTTTGCCTCAATCTTTAATGAGGCTAATGAGGAGCTTAGGGATAATGGTAGGATGATGAATGAGGATATGGAGGTAGATATTACTGCATTCGAGGTAGAAGCCAAACTCAAACAGCTTAATGGAACTAAATCGGGGGGCCCAGATAATCTTCATCCAAGAATATTAAAGGAACTGGCACATGAAATTGCAAGCCCATTAGCAAGAATTTTGAATGAATCTGTAAACTCAAGGGTTGTACCATATGACTGGAGAATTGCTAACATAGTTCCTATCTTTAAGAAAGGGGGAAAAAGTGATCCGGGTAACGACAGGCCTGTTAGTTTGACATCTGTAGTATGCAAGGTCTTGGAAAAAATGTTGAAGGAGAAAGTAGTGAAGGACATTGAGGTCCATTGTAATTGGGACAAAATACAACATGGCTTTACAAAAGGTAGATCGTGCCAAACCAACCCGATCTTCTTTGAGAAGGTAACAGATTTTTTAGACAAAGGAAAAGCAGAGGATCTAATCTACCTCGATTTCAGTAAGGCATTTGATACAGTTCCACATGGGGAATTGTTAGCTAAATAGGAAAAGATGGGGATCAATATGAAAACTGAAAGGTGGATAAGGAACTGTTTAAAGGGGAGAATACAACGGGTCATACTGAAAGGTGAACTGTCAGGCTGGAGGGAGGTTACTAGTGGAGTTCCCCAGGGATCGGTTTTGGGACCAATCTTATTTAATCTTTTTATTACTGACCTTGGCACAAAAAGTGGGAATGTGCTAATAAAGTTTGCGGATGACAAAGCTGGGAAGTATTACCAATACAGAGAAGGACCGGGATATCATACAGGAAGATCTGGATGACCTTGTAAACTGGAGTAATAGTAATAGGATGAAATTTAATAGTGAAAAGTGCAAAGTCATGCATCTAGGGATTAACAACAAGAATTTTTATTATAAACTGGGGATGCATCAGTTGGAAGTAACAGAGGAGGAGAAGGACCTTGGAGTATTGGTTGATCACAGGATGACAATGAGCCGCCAATGTGATATGGCCATGAAAAAAGCTCTCTCTCTCTCTCTCTCTCTCTCTCGGGTGTTTTTTGGTTTCCTCATTTGCTCTGCAGCAACGCTTCTCGTACCTAAGCTGAAAGATCCCTGCAGCACCCAAAAATCCTGTGGGGTTTGCTCATCAAGTGGGTTACTACCAGAACAATTGTAATGTGAAAGTGGGGATAGGGACGTGCTGAAGCTGGGACATATGAGTGTGGCAGTTTGGAGGTGCTGCTCAACCCAGTCTGCTGAGTCCAGGGGCATATGAGGGTGGCAGATTGAAAGTGCTGCTTGACCCAGTCTGCTTAGGCTCTATTCCAGTGTGGGACCCATGGCATATGAGGGTGACAGCTTGGCAGTGCTGTTTGACCCAGCCTACTGAGTCCAGGGACATATATGGGTCAGCTTGGGAGTGCTGATTAACCCGGTCCTCTCAGACGCGCTCTGTTAATGTGTGTGTGTTCATCTGATTCTGGGGCTGGAAGAACCCAGCCCTGGGGAACCTAGGTCCTGCAGGATTGCTCCATTGGGAGGGAATTTGCAGCAGGGAGAAGTAGAGCTCCATATGAGAACACAAGTGACATAAACAATACATTGATAGAATTACAGACCACCACCACCCCAGAAGAGTAACCCTAATAAATGAGTATACCCCAAAGTAACGGGCAAAGCTGGCAATATCACCATGTTTAGGGTGTTCCCCGAGATGTGTGCTTTGCTAAGGGTCTGTGAGAAAGCGATTGGTATGTTACAAGAGGTGTAATGATTCAATGCTGTGCGTGAACTAACAATCATGCTTCTGTGTATTGCTTCATGTGCTTCTGCAGATGTGGCCTTCAGGAGAAACCCCTATACACCAGCGGAGCGCCTCCACCAGATAAGGAAGTCACCAAGGTGGACATGTTCCGCCAGGTGTTTCACTCCTCAGAGGCAGAAAAAAGAGAACACAGGGAGTGGAGAGAAATGGAAAGGCGGGACAGAAAGGAGAGTGAGGAGAGTGTTCAAAAGGCCCATGAGCGGATGATAAAAGTCATGGAGGAGCAAACAGAAATGCTGAAGTCTCTCATCATGCTTCACTTAGAACAGATGTGTGCTTGCCCCGCTCTGCAGCCGATACAGAACTATTTTCCATGCCCTCCCCAAACTCCTTCCACATGTTCCTTCGAACTTTCCGGAACATCTCGGTATCCCATTCATGCCATCCTTTCGGACAGCTTCCAAAATGATAGCTGGACTTACACACAGCTATGACAGCCTCCACTGCCCTGCACTACTACCTCTCTTCCCACCAAGCCTTTTTTCTGTGTTAATTGGTGTTTAATAAAAACAAACTCTCTGAAAGAGAACCAATCTTTATTTGTGTCCTACACAAAGTGATTACTGCTGGTACATGCAGTTTAATCATTTGCTTACGTTCAGGATGCATCACAAGTGTCAGGCAAAATCAGAAAACTCAAATTAATGAATCATAGCAGATTGCTGAATAGAAATACACATTACTGGTGCTCATTATCAAAATGTTACTTCAAAGCCTCACTGATTTGAATTGCCCCCCATTGTGCCCCCCATAATAGCCCAGGTATCAGGCTGCTCAAAATCAGCAGCCAGGTGATCTGCCTCCACCCCTGGGCAAACTTTTCACCCTTAGCCTCACAAAGATTATGGAGCGTGCAGTAGGCAGCTATTACCATGGGAATGTTTTCCTAACTTAGGTCTAACCTGCCATAAAGACATCGCCAGCGCGCTTTTAATCTGCCAAAGGCACATTCCACAGTCATTCTGCACCTGCTCAGCCTATTGTTGAAGTGCTCCTTGCTGCTGTCCGGGTTTCCCCTGTAAGTCTTCATGAGCCGATGGGAGTAAGGTGTACGCTGGGTCTCCCAGGATCACTATGGGCATTTCAACACCCTCCACTGGAATCTTCCAGCCTGGAAAGAAAGTCCCAGCTTGCAGTTTTCTGTACAGGCCAGTGTTCCTGAAGATGTGTGTTTCATGCACTTTCCTGGACCACCCTGCGTTGATGTCAGTGAAACACCCACGGTGATCAACAAGCACCTGCAATACCCCTTTCTATTGATTTTCTCCATCGCAAGATCGTCTAGGGCCAAAATTGGAACCTCTGTTCCATCTATTGCCTCGCCACAGTTAGGGAATCCCATTGCCACAAAGCCCATCCACTATTTCACGCACATTGCCAAGAGTCACGGTCCTTCATAGCGAGATGCAATTAACGGCTCTGCGCACTAATGTTAACGCAGCACGCGCCATCGACTTCCCCACTCCCAACTGATTCCAACTGACTAGTAGCAGTCTGGAGTCGCCAGCTTCCACACAGCGATCGCCAGGCGCTTCTCCACAAGAGGCTGCTCTCATTTGGGTGTCCTTGTGCCGCAGGGCTGGGTCGAGCTCCGCACACAGGTCCAGGAAGGTGGCTTCCTTCATCTGAAAGTTCTGTATCCACAGCTCATTGTCCCAGGCCAGGTGACTGGTAACTGCAGATAGTGGGGATGGGGGGGGCGCAATGACAGGCTCCCCACCGCCACCACCACTGCCACGGTCGGCTTCCTGGTGACTGTCAAGGCCCCCTCCAGCAACACCCTCGTGAACATGGCACCTGCCCATGGCGACCGCCCACCTCGCCCACACTTAAGGCCGGCCCTGCCAGGGTCGTCCTTAGGGAAAATGGCCCCCTAGGTGAACTTGTATTTTGGCGCCTTGGCCCGTGCTGCCTCCCCCAGCCCCCCACCCCCTATATCGCCTCTGGTCCCTGCTGCCTCCCCCGCCCCATTGCCCCGACTCCCTGAGCTCCCTTCTGCGCACCCAGACAGGCTAGTCCAGACCCACACTTTTTGTCGACAACACTCTGTAGTGTAGACAAGGCCCAACCGTCAGAGGAGCAAAGTTCTGGAGCAGTCTCCCAAGGGACCTAACTGGCTTCAAGACTGAGCTTGAGACGTTTCTGGAGGGGACGGGATGAGGAGACATCCCACAAGGGCATGGAGCTGATCCGCGACTGCTAGCAGCAAATCTCTCCAATGGCCGGAGACGGGACACTCACTGGGGAGGGCTCTGAGTTACTACAGAGAATCCGTTCCCAGGTGTCTGGCTGGTGGGTCTTGCCCACATGCTCAGGGTCTAACTGGTCACCGTATCTGGGGTCAGGAAGGAATTTCCCCCCCAGGTTACATTGGTAGAGACCCGTGGGCAGGGGTTCACCTTCGTCTGCAGCCTGGAGCATGGGGCACTGGCAGGTTTAAACTAGTGTCAATGGTGGATTCTCTGTAACTTGACATCTTTAACTCATGATTTGAGGCCATCAGTGTCTCAGCCAGACTCTGGGGTCTGCTGCAGGAGTGGGTGGGTGAGGCTCTGTGGCCTGCAACGTGCAGCAGCTCAGACCAGATGATCACGATGGACCCTTCTGGCCTTAAAGTCTGTGAGTCTGTCGCCCACTGAGGGCCGGTGCCCCATGGCTGTGGGGGGCTCTCACTGCAGGGCCCCACGGCTTACGTTGATCGCAGCATACACGCTGGGCTGGGAGGGCTCAGGGTCATGGGCCGGGCCCCCCCGCTTGGCCTGCAGCACCCGTCCGTCCAGCTCCGCGTAGGTGAGTCCGTCAGGGTCGGGCTCCTGGGGGTGGGAGGGGACAGAGTCATTGGAGTGTGTGAGTGTGTCTGTGTGTGTGTGTGCGCACCAACCCCCCATGCCCACATGTTCACACAGACCAGGGCTTGTCCCCTCCAGCAGGGGGTGACAGGGACACACACACACACTCACACACACACACCCCTGCAATCCCAGCTGGAGATCCCATAAGCCCCACCCAGAAACCCGACCCCCACCCCAAAATGCTGAGTGTGCCAGATAAGGTGAGTGGGGCCCATGTGGGTCAGGGTTGGGGGCCAGGCCCCATGGGGGAACAGGGGACACTTACCAGGGTCTGTGTCTCTTTTCCTTCATCAACGGAGGAGTCTGCAGAACAGAGACACCCGCTGAGCTGCACTCCCAGCCAGCCCAGAGCAGAACCCCAAACCCAGCTCTGACCCCTCCGTCCAGCCAGGGGCTCAGAGACCGGCACAGCGAACCCTCCCCCACCCCACAGCATGAGCCATGGTCATTAGCCCCATGTTACAGAGAGGAAAACTGAGGCACAGAGACAGCAGCAGAGTCTAGGGGGTTATGGCGGGGCAGGGGGGCTGGGAGTCAGGATCCCTGGGTTGTGACCCTGGCTCTGGGAGGGAAGTGGGGTCTAGTGGTTAGAGCAGGGGGCTGGGAGCCAGGAGTGGATGGGGATTCTCCCCAGGTCATTGGCTGGGAAGGTCTGATGGAGAAGTGAAGGGCAGGACACACAAAGTCCCAGGCCTGGGGGGGGAGAATAGGGGGCACACAGAGGGAGTCCCTGAACTAGAGGGGGAGGAGAGGGTGGCCCCACTGAACTAGAGGGGGAGGGGAGGGTGGCCCCCAGGGAGCTGGTGGGGAGGGAGGCAAGCAGCTCAGCTGACACTGGCTACCTCTGGGACCGTCTCCTTAGTCTCACCCAGCAGCAGCTGTAAATCAGGCCCCGCACCATATGGGTAGAGCCCCCACAAGCTCCACCCCTCCTCAAGGGGTCCTGCCCCACCCTGGTACCCCCTTGGGTGTGTTACTCACAGATGGGGTCTTGCTCAGCCGGGGCCTTCAACGCCCCCAAGGGGATGGTGCTAAAAGAGAAAAAATGCACTTGTAAATGTCATATCCCCCCACCCGCAGGGAGATTCCCCAACACACCAGAGAGCCCCCAATCCTGCCTCACACTGAACCCTGTTCCCTAACCCCCCTGCTACAACCACTAGACCCCACTCCCCTGCCAGAGCTGGGGACAGAACCCAGGCACAGGCGACACAAGGGGGGGGGGGACATGCAGGGTCACATGACCCCCCCCGATTGCTCGATCACATGGTGCAGCCGGGCCCCCTCCCTGTGGAGCAGCTGAGCTGGGGAGCTGCGCTGGACAGGGAGAGGCAGAGGCAGAAGTGGAGGAACAGCTGGGAGCTGTATGGAGGGGTCACTGCTTTCCGGGGTGGGGCATGGTGTGACTCCAGCTGTTCTGGGGTTGTGCCCCTCCACTGTCAGCAGGCCCAGGTCATCTCTGAGGGGTCCTGGCTCCCAACCCCAATCCCACCCGCAGAGCCTGGGACAGAACCCAGGAGCCCTGTGACCCCGGCAGGTCGATCGGGAGGGGGGAGGAGCTGGGTTCCTACCTGCTCGGTCTCGGTGCGGCTCCTTTTCCTGCAGAGGGACACAAACCAGAATCCCCCATGAGTCGATCGGGATCCCTCGGTCCCAGTGCCGGCCACTCACCCCCACAGGGCAGCAGGGATGGGGGTGTCTGGGGGGGTCCCCTCTGCTGCTGGTGCTGAGCCTGGATCCCTGCTGGGGTGGGCCAGACCGGCAGGGGGCAGCACAACACCAGAGCATGCACCAGGGGGAGGGGCAGATTAACTCGGGGGGCTTTTCCTGTCCCCAGTCCTCCCTCGTTAGTGACTCGTTATAATGAACCTGATCCATAGGCCAGCTCCTCTGGCACCCCAAGTACCTGAAAGGCACGGTGCCGGTGGCTCATTATACAGAAACCGCTTGCCCGGTGCTGAGATGCAGCTACCTCTGGGGTGGGGCACGGGGAATGCTTATATAGGGACCCCTCAGCCGGCACTAAGATGAGGCCCCTCTGGGGCGGGACAGCTGTGTGTACAGGGATTACTCATGCAGCGCCCCCTGCTGAGCCCCCATCCCTGTTCCTTGGCTTTCCCGGCACTGTCCCACATCCAAGCTGTGACCCCATCCCACCCTGCTTAGCGGCAGGTTTAACCCTTCCCTCGCTGTGGGGGCACTCACTGGCTCGGGTTTTTCTGAAGCAGACTAAGGCCACGAGGAGGAGGAGAAGGAGGAGGCCGGCGGCTGCCGCGCTCACCCCGGTGATGATGAGGCTGGTCAGACCCGGAGATGCCGGCGATTCCGATCCGTCTGGGAAACAGAAGCAGCCGTGAGTGCCGGGAGCAGCTGGTCTGTCCCGCCCCCCCCAGCCCCTCCCACCCCAGGCAGCGCCCAAGGGGCTGGGACACCGCAGGGCGCAGGCAGCAGAAAATTCTATGGGAAGGATGTTGGGGGCCCCAGGGCATCAAGTGGGGTCAGAGCCAGCAAGATTTGGGGGATTTGTAGCACTAGGGGGCACTGGGCTGCAGTTGGTGAGGGGCTCAGTAGGGGGCGCTCTCCCCATCAGTCAGGGCTGGCCTCATTGTCCCAGCACAGCGCTAGGGGGCGCTGTCTGATCCAGCCTGGCAGTCATTTCTAAGGCATTTCACCCCTTTCCTCACGGCCACACCGGCTCAGGCCAACGGGCCCATCTATCCCGGTATCCCACCTCCCATGCTGGCTGCTCCTGACTGCTTTGCAGGGAGCTCCAGGGTACCCCCCCGCCCATGGCCACTGATGGGCCCAGCTGCCCCCAGAGTAAGCCTCTGGTTGCCCCGTTAGTGGTGGGTTCGTGTCTGAGCAGGAGGCTTCGCTCCCCTCCCAAATCTGTTGGCGGGGGAGAGTCACTGCCCCTGAGAACAGCCTCCATCCCTCCCCCTGGGCAACCACTGGGGGAAGCTGCTTTATAATCTGTGACTCAATAGATTCTCCCCAGCCCGGTACCTGACCCCGCGCTGTCCGGGCGGGTGGGAGCCGGCACCGCTCCGGGCTGGGTCGGGTCGGTTCTCCCTGCCGGACTAGAACCAGCATCTGTCGGGGCAGGGGGAAGGGCTGAAACACTGACTCAGAGATCTCCCCCCACCCTCCGAAGACCAGTGATGGATCAACCACTGGGCCTACGGGGCCCATGCCCAGGGGCCCCAGCCAAGTGTGGGGCCCCGGAGCCCCAGCCGCCAGGTGAGCAGGACGGGAGAAGCCCCAGCACCCCAACCTCCATATGTGCCAACTTCCACTGTTCCCCCTGGGTGCCCCCCCCCCCCCCCGCCCCGGCCCCACCCTCACCCCGCCCCCATTCCACCCCTTCCCCAAAGTCCCCACCCGCTTCCGGGCCACATTCCACCCCCTTCCCCCAAGTCCCCGTCCCTTCTCTGCCTCCTCCGCTGAATGCACCATGTCCCTGCTCCTCCTCCTCCCTCCTGGAAAGTCCTAAGCGCCGCCAAACAGCTGTTTGGCGGCGGGAAGTGCTGGGAGGTAGGCAGAGGAGTGAGGACACGGTGTGCTCAGGGGAGGGTTGGGGGAGGGGAGCTTGGCTGCCAGTGGTGTACAGAGCACCCACTAAATTTTCCCCGTGGGTGCTCCAGCCCCAGAGCACCCCCAGAGGCAGCTCCTATGCAACCCTGGTCCCTGGCAGAAGCACAGGGGGCGGGACAGGGGAAGCCTTAGCACCGGAACCTCCGCTGCGGCCCCAGGACGGGAGGACTCTCACTACTGTCATGGCCTCAGGACTGGGGGACTCTCACTCCGCACTGCGCCCTGGGGCCAAGGCGGGGGGACAGAGCTTCTCTGGGCTGGGGGCCACAGTCGGGGGGGCCATAAAGTAGCAAATGGGTTGTGGGGCTGCAGTGGGTGGAGGGAATGGGGCGGGACCGTGAGTGGAATAGGGGCGGGGCCCCGGGGAAGGGGCAGAAAGGGGTGGGGCCGTGGGTGGGGCTGCAGGCCGAGGAGGTGGAACAGGAGAGGGATGCAGATGGAAGAGCTGGGGAGGGATCCCCCTTGCTCTGGCCCAGGGCCCCAGGAAACCTTAATCCACCTCTGCCCGTGACTCAGCATCGATCGTTACTGTCAGTCCCGGGGAGGGGGGTTTGTGGCTGGGGACGGTGCCGGCTGGGCCCTGACTCCTCTGTGTGTCCCCAGTGTGGGGCAGCCCCTGGGAAAGGCCCCTGCTCTGCAGCTGCCCCTGAATCCCCCCTCCCTCAGCCCTGAACTTCCAGGAGCTGCTACTCCCCCCTGGCTGGGGAACCCCCCAGTGACACTGTCCCCGCTCCCTGTCCAGGCGAGTCCTAGGGCTCTGGGCAGAGCCTGGCTCTGAGCATCCCATCAGGGTGCCGACCCCTCACCTGCTACCACCAGCTCCACATAGCTGCTGGTGTACGATGAGACGAAGGGCTCTGATCGGCGCCGGTAGCTGCAGCTGTAGTTCCCTCCGTGCTGCCGGCCCACGTTGCGGATCCGGAACTTGGCCACGTCCCCAGCAGGGTCCACGTGTCGCTGCAGGTTCAGGTCTCCAGCCTTGTGCAGGAAGAACCTCACGTCCCGGCGCTGCCCCTGACACCAGATGGTGACGTCTGCCCCTGGGGCGGTGACCCCAGTGGGGCTTAGAGAGATGGAGGGTCTGGGTAAGCTGGGATCTGCGCACAGGAGACAGGCTGTGAGAGCCAGACCCGGGCACCTACCCAGCCCCAGCCCCAGCCTCCAGCTGCAGAGGAGAAGAGCAGGGGGGATTTGATAGCAGCCTTCAACTACCTGCAGGGGGGGGTTCCAAAGAGGATGGAGCTCGGCTGTTCTCAGTGGTGGCAGATGACAGAACAAGGAAAAAACTATGTCACTAGGAGGGTGGTGAAGCACTGGAATGGGTTCCCTAGGGAGGTGGTGGAATCTCCTTCCTTAGAGGTTTTTAAGGCTCGGCTTGACAAAGCCCTGGCTGGGATGCTTTAGTTGGGGTTGGTCCTGCTTTGAGCAGGGGGTTGGACTAGAACCATCTGAGGTCTCTTCCAACCCTGATCTTCTATGATTCCCTGGCCGGCCCCAGGCACGGGCAGATCCAGGGGCTCCCTGGCAGAGATTCTCTCCCAGATCCCAGAGTCCCCCTGATCGAGAATCCCGGCCTGCGAACTGGGCTCCCAGCCCCACAGACACGGAGCAGCAGCTGCCTAGTTCTTGGGGTCCTCATATGCCCGTGTCTGTCCCTTACCTCATTCACTGCGTCCAGCCTGCCCTGGACACTCAGCGACTCACGGGCTGATCTCTGATGCCCGGAACCACAGAGCCTGAGCCCCACACGGGAAAGGAGTCAGACCCCCAGGAGGCAGGGAGGTGTAATTATCCCCAATCTACAGGGGGGAAACTGAGGCACAGACAGATTCACTTTCTTTAGTGAGCTCCCAGGGGCAGGGACTGTCTCTTCACTCTGTGTTTATGCAGCGCCTGGCCCAAAGAGGCCCTGATCATGGCAGGGGCCCTACATGCTCCCCCATCACAAGGGTGTGACATTGCACCCTATATGATTTTATGAAAATATGCTAATGAGTGTGAATATAATGTAACTGGAATATGCTTCATGCAAAAGGTCTCTTGTAAGGTATCATTACAAAGCTTATAATCTACTGAGTGTGGTCATCTTATTTGTATGAATGTATCATTCTTGTACCTGAAACTAGAAATATGAAATATAACTCTGAGGGCCTATTGAAATTATGCAAAGTGTGGGCCATTAATGGTGGTTTGGAATCTTGATGTCTCCCATTAACCAGGACAATTGACTGTAGATGGCTCTGTTTACTTGTAAGTCGTCCTGTATAGCAGGGGTCTCAAACACTCTTGCATGTGGCCTGCCAAGCTCCCCGCGCCCCCCCCCCCCACCTACCCGCGGGATTGGCAGCACTGGCAGCACGCCCCTTCGGGCCGGGGGGAGGGGGAAGGAGGCAGAGGGCTCCTGCATTGCCTCCTTCCAGGCACCGCCCCCCGCAGCTCCCATTGACCGGGAACAGGGAACCGTGGCCAATGGGAGTTTCGTGGGAGGTACCTAGAGGAGCGGCAAGAGCTGCACAAGCAGGGAACCCTGAGCCCCTCCCGCAGGGGTTGCAGGGACATGGTTCCAGCTGCTTCCTAGAACGGAGCGGCAGGGCCGGGGGCCAGGGTGGGCAGGCAGGCAGGGAGCCTGACCTGGCCCCGGTGCGTGCTGCTGCCACCCCGGAGCTGCTCTAGATAAGCGGTGCCAGGCTGGAGCTCACACCCTGAACCCCTCCTGCACCCCAACTCCCTGCCCTAAGCCCCCTGCCACATCCCGCACCCCAACTCCCTGCTCTGAGCCCCCTGCCACATCCCACACCCCTCCCGCACCCCAACCCCTGCCCTGAGCCCTGTGCCACATCCCGCACCCCTCCTGCACCCCAACCCCCTGCCCTGAGCCCCTGACACATCCTGCACCCCTCCTGCACTCCCTGTCCTGAGCCACCTGCCGCACCCCTCACCCTCTTGCACCCCACCCACCAACTCCCTGCCCTGAGCCCCCTGCCGCACCCTGCACCCTTTCTGCACCCCCTGGGGGCAGCATTGGGGTGGGGACTTCGGGGAAGGGGTTGGAATGGGGTGGGGAAGAGGTGGGGCAGGGGCGGGGTCTAATGGAAGGGGTGGAGTGCGGGTGGGGCCAGAGGCAGCGAGGGCGGGTGTCAGTGATGCAGCCCTTGGTTCAATGCACTAGTCCTCATGTGGCCCTCGTGGTCATTTGAGTTTGACCTGCTATATAGTGTGTACTGGCAAGTGGGTAATGAAGTCTTACAGTGACATGTGATTATGTCACCTGCATTGGAATCCATCTTTAACCTGGTGCTTTTGCATTGAGAAGGAGGGGGTGGGAACCCAGAGAGGGACAAAGGATTCCTGCCTTGTGCAAAAGATATATAAGTGGGTGGAACAGAACAAAGGGGGCGGCTAACATGAGAAATCCCCTAGCTACCACCTGAGCTGGAACAAGGGCTGTATTAGGGGAAAGGATTTTGCCCAGATTAGGAAGGTGTCCAGTCTGTGAAAGAAGGTTATTGAAACATCTGAGGGTGAGGTTTTCTCTGTATTCAATTTTATTACTGAATTAGGTTTAGACTTGCGTGTTTTGTTTTATTTTGTTTGGTAATTCACTTTGTTCTGTCTGCTATTACTTGGAACCACTTAAATCCTACTTTTTGTGTCTAATAAAATCACTTTTTACTTATTAATTAACCAAGAGTATGTATTAATACCGGTGGGGGGCAAACAGCTGTGCATATCTCTCTATCAGTGTTATAGAGAGTGAACAATTTATGAGTTTACCCTGTATAAACTTTATACAGGGTAAAACGGATTTATTTGGGGTTTGGACCCCATTGGGAGCTGGGTGTCTGGGTGTTGGAGACAGGAGCACTTCTTAAACTGTTTTCAGTTAAGCCTACAGCTTTTGTGGGGACATGGTTCAGACTCGTTTGAAGCAGGCTAACGGGTCTGGCTCAAACCAGGCAGGGCACTGAACTCCCAAGCTGGCAGGGAAAGCGAGCTCAGGGGTAGTCTCAGCACACCAGGTGGCAGTCCCAAGGGGGTTTCTGTGATCCACCCTGTCACAAAGGGATCTAGCACTATTGAGGCCAGCATTTGCAGAGGTCTCCACTATCTGTGGGCATCTCATTTTGTGGGTGCTCAGCCTGAGATCCCCCAAGATTGAGCCCCCCTCAAAGAAGGACACTTTTGGAAACCGCAATGTGCTCCCATCACACAGAGCCTGTGGCTGTGCCAGGAGCTGGGCCAGATCTCCTGGGTCCCAGCCCAGCGCTGTGTCCACCAAGCCACCGCTTCTCCTGCAGCCCCTGCCTCATTCAGCCCCGGCCGGGGCACTGCCTGGGGCGGGGCCTGGAGTACAGGGGGATGGGATCATAGGATTAAATAGCGACTCACGATTCCTACGCACAAGAGGCAGCGTTAAAGTAGCCTCCCTGCCCCGAGTCTCCAGGGGCTGCTGCTCCCCCCTGGCTGGGGAACTCCCCAGTGACTCCGTCCCCGCTCCCCAGCCGGGCGTCCCCTCTGCGTGGTCAGGGCTCAGGGCAGAGCCTTTCTCTGAGCATCTCATTGGCACCGAGTCCCCGTGAGGGTCTGGCTGGGGGTGGGGCTGGGAACGGGGACGCCGAGCCGGGCCCCTCACCTCTCACCACCAGCTCCATGGGGTCGCTGGGGTAGGACACGGCGAACGGCTCCGATCTGCTGTGATAGGAGCAGCTGTAGCTCCCGCCGAGATCCCGGTGAACATTGCTGCTGGAAAACACAGCCTCAAACCCGTCCGAATCCACAGGTGGGAAATGGCGTCGCTCTTTATTCAGCACGAACCACACACCCCGGCGCTGCCCCCGACACCGGACGGTCACGGCTCCCCCCAGGGAGACCCCCCCACTGGGGCTCATGGAGATGTTGGGTTTGGGGTAACTGGGCTCTGCAGTGGGAAGCAGACAGGCCGTGAGACGCAGGCCCCGTCACTCAGTCCTGGGGCCCGTCCTCACCACGTGGCCTCAGTGGTGGGTCAGACCCGGCGGCCCTGGGGACGGGCTCCTGGATGCCTCTCCACAGGGGCCAGAGTTTCCTCTGAGATCTGGGCTAACAGCATGAGACACGGATCAACCCCAGCCCCTGGGGGCCCAGAGCTCTGCTCCCTAGCAGGAGACAGGCCAGTCCAGTCTCCAGGGTCCAGTCACTCCCTGGCTTCTCTGCTGGGAGGGCTGGGAGCAAGGACACCTGGGTCCTATCCCTGGCTCTGGGAGGGGAGTGGGGGCTAGTGGTTAGAGTGGTGGAGGGGCTCGCTGGGGGCCAGGACTCCCGTGTTGTGTTCCTGGCTCTGGGAGAGGAGTGGGGTCTAGTGAGAAAAACAGGGAGGATGGGGGCCAGGACTCCTCGGTTCTGTGCACAGCACCACCACTGACTTGTAGGGGACTGTGCAAGTCTCAACTATACACTGCGGTTTATAACCTTCAGCTCCGCCCATCACCCTGTAACTTATGTGTTGCCTGGGAAAGGCCTCCCCTGCTCTGCAGCTCCCCCTGGGGGCAGGGATCCCCGCTTTCTCAGCCCTGAATCTCCAGCGGCTGCTTCTCCCCCCTGGCTGGGGAACCCTCCACTGACTGTATCCCTGCTCCCCGGCCGGGCGTCCCCTCTGCTGGGCCTGGGGTTGGGAGCGGAGACGCTGAGCCAGGCCCCTCACCTGCTACCACCAGCTTCACGGGGTCGCTGGGCTCCGACCAGGTGTCGGGATCCGAGTCGGGGGGATAATAGCAGGTGTAGCTGCCTCTGTCTGCCCTGGTCACTTTGGGGATGGGAAATTTGGCCCCAGCCTTGTACAGAACAAACTCCAGACCCCGGCGTTGACCCCGATACCAGACAGTCATGGCTCCCCCCAGGGCTCCCCCCTGACTGGGACTCAGGGAGATGGAGGGTTTGGGGGATCTGAGCTCTGCAGTGTGAAGGAGATGGGGCATGAGACAGACCCTGGCACAGCCACTGCGCCCCGTCCACAGCATGGAGCGTCAGCTACGGGGCAGAGACAGGGTCAATGTCTCCCCTGGGATACAGGGCACCAAGGTACCAGCCCAAGATTTCCTTCCTCCCCATACCCATCTTTGGGGGGCTGAGATCTCCCCCCCCCAACTCAACCTTCACTGGCTGGACGTCCCTTCTGCCGGGCACCCGGGCTTAGGGAGATCCCCCGGGGCCTGGCTGGGTGTGGGGCTGGGAGCTGAGGTGCTGGGTTGGGCCCCTCACCTGCTACAATGATCTGCACAGGGTCGCTGGGCTCTGAGTAGGCAGCTGGTCCTGTTCTGTAGGTAGAACGACAGGTGTAGCTGCCACTGTGTTCCCGTCTGGCGCTGGTGATGGGAAATTCAGCCACATAACCAACAGGATCTGTGTAAGTCAGATAGTTCCCATCTCCAGCCTTGTAGAGGAGGAACCTCATGCCCGGGTACTGATGCCCACACCAGATGGTGACGTTTCCTCCCACGGGGATCACCCCACCGGGGCTGATGGAGATGGAGGGTTTGGGGTAGGACCCCTCTGGATTCACAAACAAACAGGCAGTAAGTGGGGGTGACACAAAGCGCGTCCGTCTGATTCAATCCTCTGCCCATCTGTTGCTCCAGCGTTTCACCCCATGCCCATCCCTGGGGTGCGGGCCCGGTGGAGTATGTCTTAACCTTCCGAGAAAGACTTGCTGAGCTCATGGGCTTGGCCAAGGAGAATCTGGCCAGAGCCCAGAGGAAACAGAAGGTCTGGTATGACCGCACGGTGCGGGCCCGCGCCTATGCCACCGGAGACCAGGTGATGGTTCTCATCTCTGTGAGAAAAAACAAACTACAGGCTGCCTGGGAAGGCCATTTTAAGGTTGTCAAGCAACTAAATGAGGTAAACTATGTGGCGGAACTGTCTAACGGATTTACCGTCACCGGATTTACCATGTTAATATGATGAAGCCATATTATGAAAGGGGGAATGCAGTGTTAGCGGTGTGTGGACATTGGGAGAAGCAGGGAGATGACCCTTTAGTAGATCTATTCCCTTAGACAGGAGCTGGCTACTCCCTGGGAACAATTCCCCTCTCTGATCGGCTGACCCCTGCCCAGCAAGCTGAGATCAGAGGGGTGCTGCATTTGTACCAACAGCTGTTTTCCAACAAGCCTGGACTCACTAATCTGACTAAAAAGAACAGGAGTACTTGTGGCACCTTAGAGACTAACAAATGTATTTGAGCATAAGCTTTCGTGGGCTACAGCCCACTTCATCGGATGCATAGAATGGAGCATATAGTAAGGAGATATATATACACATACAGAGAACATGAAAAGGTGGGAGTTGTCCTACCAACTCTAAGAGGTTAATTAATGAAGAGAAAAAACTTTTGTAGTGATAGTCAGGATAGCCCATTTCAGACAGTTTGACAAGAGGTGTGAGGATACTTAACATGGGGCAATAGATTCAATGTGTGTAATGGCTCAGCCATTCCCAGTCTCTATTCAAGCCTAAATTGATGGTGTCTAATTTGCATATTAATTCAAGTTCAGCAGTTTCTCGTTGGAGTCTGTTTTTGAAGCTTTTCTGTTGCAAAATTGCCACCTTTAAGTCTGTTACTGAGTGGCCAGAGAGGTTGAAGTGTTCTCCTACTGGTTTTTTAATGTTATGATTCCTGATGTCAGATATGTGTCCATTTATTCTTTTGCGTAGAGACTGTCCGGTTTGGCCAATGTACATGTTCTTTTTGCGGATACAGACTAACACGGCTGCTACTCTGAAACTAATCTGGCTGTCCACCGGGTGGAGACAGGATCGCTCCCCCTTCCAAGTCACAGGGAAAACTGCTCAGGACCTGGAAAGAGAGGTCAGGGACATGCTGGCTTTGGGGGTGATCCAGCCGTCTTCCAGCCCTTGGGCCTCGCCTGTGGTGCTGGTCCCCAAAAAGGACGGGTCGATCCGGTTCTGTGTGGACTATCGGAAGCTCAATGCCATCACTGTATCTGATGCCTACCCCATGCCCAGGCCTGACGAGCTCCTAGACAAGCTGGGAGGCGCTCGGTACCTTACCACCATGGATCTTACAAAGGGCTACTGGCAAGTGCCGCTGGATGCGGAGGCCAGGCTGAAATCGGCCTTCATCACCCCTCTGGGGTTCTATGAGTTCCTGGCCCTGCCTTTCAGCCTCAAGGGGGCGCCTGCCACCTTCCAGCGCCTGGTGGATCAGCTACTCAGGGGGATGGAGAGTTTTGCCATGGCATACACTGATGACATCTGTGTCTTTAGCCAGACCTGGGAGGACCACGTGTCCCACGTTAGATAAGTGCTGGACTGACTTCAGGAGGCTGGGCTGACTATAAAAGCTGAGAAGTGCAAGGTGGGGATGGCCGAAGTATCTTACCTGGGCCACTGGGTGGGGAGTGGGACTGTTCTTAATGTGGTTTTTGAATGCTGAGTGGGGAGTGTTGGCTGGGAAGGCAGGGGAGTGTGGCTAAGATAGTCTGCATTGGGAGATGGGAGACTGGCCTTGAGGGAAGATACCTGAGCATGTAACATGAGAACCCAGGAAGGGGTTAGAGGCCAGGTGACACCTTTGCCCGGGAAACTGAACAAAGGCTGTGGGAGGGGTCACTGAAGGGAGAGTTTCAGGGGCTGGCTGGTGGAATTGCTGGGAGGCAGACGGGGTCTGACCTCCCAAGGGGGCTGTGGTGCCCTGGGACCCCAAGATGGACCTAACTGGGGGGGATCCTGTTGTCTGTGCCTGCAAGACCTGTCTTGGACTGTGTTCCTGTTGTCTAAATAAACCTTCTGCTTTACTGGCTGGCTGAGAGTCATGGTGAATCGCAGGAAGCCGGGGGTGCAGGGCCTTGTGTCCCCCCACACTCCGTGACAGGCTGTCTAAAGCCAGAACCAGCCAAGGTGGAAGCGATCAGAGACCGGCCCGCTCCCCAAACCAAAAAGCAGGTCCAAGCCTTTATTGGAATGAAGGGGTATTATCGAAGATTTGTGCCCCACTTTAGGGCCATAGCCGCCCACAACGCTGAGCTATGCAAGAAGGAAAAGCCAGACAAGGTGGTCTGGACTGAGCAGTGCCAGAGGGCTCTCTGTGCGCTGAAAGAGGCTCTGGTCAGTGGCCCAGTTCTGGTAAACCCAGACTTTGACAAGCCCTTTATGGTGTTCACCAATGGCTCAGACATAGGGCTGGAAGCGGTGTTAATGCAGGTTGATGAAAAGGGGGAGAGACATCCCATCATGTACTTGAGCAAGAAGTTGCTACCCCAGGAGCAGAACTACGCGGCCATCAAGAAGGAATGCCTGGCCATGGTGTGGGCACTTAAGAAACTAGAGCCATATCTCTTTGGGCGACACTTCACCGTGTACACCGACCACTCTCCCCTGACCTGGCTGCACCAGATGAAAGGAGCCAATGCCAAGCTCCTGGGGCGGAGCCTGCTCCTGCAGGATTACGATATGGAGGTGGTCCATGTGAGGGGGAAAGCCAAAGCTGATGTGTTGTCCCGGAGAGGGGGGCCTGAACTTTCCCAGGTCACTGGTCAGAGTGACCCCGCTCAGTTCACTCTCGAAGGGGGGAGAAATGTGACGCAATAGGGAGTGGGGAGTATTGACCTGGGAATGTTCCGTGGGAGTTTTACTAGTTTACTGCCTTCTGCTAACATGGGGCATGCCTCCCTTTCCCTGGGGTACTGCACCAATACTAGATGGTGATGGGAAATAGGGTGTGACTTCACTGAGGGATGATACTTGACAGCCAGCAGTAACATGAGCCCAGGAGGGGGTTGGGGCCAGGTGACACCTTCTGCCCCGGAAACTGGACAAAGGCTGGAGGAGGGGCCAGAGTGTGTGGCTGGATGAGACTGCTGGAGGGAGTTTCAGTTTGGAGCTGGATGGGGGGGGGAGGGGAGGCCCAGACCCCACCCCCCAAGATGGACCCGACTGAGGGGTCCTGTTTTCTGTAACTACAAGCTCTGTTTTAGACTGTGTTCCTGGCATCTAATAAACCTCTGTTTTACTGTCGCTGAGAGTCACGGTGAATTGCAAGAAGTGGCGGGTGCAGGGCCCTGACTCCCCCACACTTCGTGACATAGGGTTCCTGGTCTAAATTTGGGTCATTTGAGCAAGCAGCTCCCAGGACAGGCCCCCCCAAAAAACATGTTTACAAAATCCCCCAGTTGTTCCAACAGGTTCCCATCCCGGTAACGGTTAGAGCGAGGTCTCAGTCCCCACCTCTGGTGAGAACGTGTCTGACAGGTTCATCCGTCTGGGGGATTGGCGCCCCACACCCCCACCCACGTCCCTTGTCCTTAATGCAGAAATTCCCCCAGCTGCCCCATTCCCCACAAATACTCACGTCCTGACACCCCGCTCCACCCAGCCAGCCAGCAGCCTGGAGAGGAGACAACTTGTTAGAGACCAAATCCCAGAGTGTCTGGACCCTGGTCTCAGATCCCCCCTCCCCCCACGGGCACACACGCTGGTCTCAGACCCCCCCCATGGGCACACACCCTGGTCTCAGATCCCCCCCATGGGCACTCTCCCTGGCTCTCTCTGATACTCACCGAGGAGGACGGTGAGAGCAGACGCCATGATGGGGCAGTGGGGGACCCTCAGCGCTGCCACCAATGCCCTAGAGCCCAGCTCCACCCAGCCTGAGGCCCGAGTGCGAGCGGAATGAGGAACTGCGCTGAGGGCTGCAGCCTCAGGAAGCCCGTGATGCACTTGGCCCTGTTCTTCCCCATCAGATGGTTTCTCTGCAATCTCCAGCCCAAATCTACCACGGTCAGAGCAAAGCCAGATCCCTGCAATGCCCAGCAAACCACATCCCCTCCTGCAGCTGGTTTCTCGCCCCCCCCCCCCCCCCCGCCCCTTCCCAGCCCCACTTGGGAGCTGCCCAGTCCAGGGACCAGCTGGGAATGGGGCAATCTCAGGCTTCCCTGACATTTTCCAACAGGCCCTTCTAGCCTCCCTGGAGCAGCAGCTCAGACTAGAGGAGGGCTCTCTCCCGCCAGCCCCCAAAGGAGTGACCCTATCCCATGGAGAGGGACAGAGATTCCTTCCTGACCCAGCTGGGCCCAGTGCTTGCCCTGGAGCATGAGGGTGGAGGGGCCTGGCCAACTTCCTTCTCAGGTAGTATCACTGCAGAAATGGGCATATGGGAGGGGTTGTGGTTTCCGGTCCCCACGAGTGGGGGAGGGAGGGATAAATGTAGATCCTGAGTTGTTAAAGGAACAGCCGATAAAGTCGTGAAAGGGGAAATTTTCCCTGAGCCGGCGCTCGCTTCCTGTTTCTGCTACTGCCAGTGAAACTCTATGTAAACCTGATGCCCCGGTGGCTACCTTGTAATATACCCCCGCTCTGGAAGGGGAGTGAGGTCTAGTGATTGGAGAGGAGGGGCTGGGAGCCAGGACTCCTGGGTTCTCTCCCTGGCTGTGGTTGGGGCGTGGGGTCTGGTGCTTAGAGAAAAAGACACAGATCAGAGCCAGCCCCCTAGAGGGGAAAGGCTCCATGTCCCCTTCCCCAGCCCATCCCCGGGGCAGCGGGTCTGTGCAGCTCAGGGCCCTGGGCAGAGCTCACAGGGGCCAACGGCTGAGCTGAGTTTCCCTCTCCGACCTCAGGATGCTGCGAAAGGGACATGGGGGAGGTGGGAGCCGACCAGCCCCCCAGAATGGGGAGGGGACAAGATCACAGGGACAGAGCTCAAGAGAAACTGTCCCCTCCCCCGCCCCAGCAGATGCCCCAGCTCTGGCTCCCCAGCTCATTTGCCCTGCACCTCCCATGATGTTCATCCATTGGGCCCCTCAGCCCCCCGTTCTGCCCCCTGGCCTGTGTTCCCTCCCCCAATCACATCCCCCCAACCCCACCCCATCCCGTGTCCCCTCATGTCCCTGGCTCTCCCCCCTGTTCTGTCCCCCCAGCCTGTAATTCCCTCACGTCCCCCCCATCAGCTCCTCACCCTCCTAGTTCTGCCCCGTCCCATGTCCCTTCACCCACCATTGTGCCCCCCACGTCCCCTCAGGCCCCCGACCTCACCGTTGTAGGGAAGGGACCCCTGGATGCCCTCAGTTAACATGGCCGCCCCATTGCCCCCTGCAGCCCTGGCAGGGCAGCCATGCTGCCCCCTGGCTAAGATGGCCGACGCCTCAGCCTGGGAGCAGGAACAATCACCCCCCCCACCCCTGACTGTCGGGGTGGGGCGATGACTGCATAGGCACGAACCCCCCGGCATCTCTGACCCTAACCTGACCCCCAGCTTGTGCCCCCCAACTCCCATCTCTTGATCCCACCCCCCCCGTTGCCTCCACCCCCCACTGCTTCCCCCAGCTGGAGCTGCCCTATTTCAAATGGGAGTTAGTGTGAAAACAATCTTGCCCCCTGCTTTGCTGTGTGGGGGGAGCTACACGTGAAAGAGCCCCCGGCCTGCCCCCCCCAGCTCACCCCCTGTCAAGGCTGCTTCCCCACTTTGAACTTTAGGGTACAAATGTGGGGGCCTGCATGAAAACTTCTGAGCTTAACTACCAGCTTAGATCTGGTCCGCTGCCACCATCCCAAAGCTGATTCCCTTCCCTGGGTAGCCTTGAGAGACCTTCACCAATTCCCTGGTGAATACAGATCCAAACCCCTTGGATCTTAAAACAAGCAGAAATTAACCATCCCCCCTCCTTCCTTCCACCAACTCCTGGTGAATACAGATCCAACCCCCTTGGATCTTAAAACAAGCAGAAATTAACCATCCCCCCTTCTTCCTCCCACCAACTCCTGGTGAATACAGATCCAACCCCCTTGGATCTAAAAACAAGGAAAAATCAATCAGGTTCTTAAAAAGAAGGCTTTTAATTAAAGAAAAAGGTAAAAATCATCTCTGTAAAATCAGTATGGAAAATAACTTTACAGGGTAATCAAACTTAAAGAGCTTAGAGGACCCCCCTCTAGTCTCAGGTTCAAAGTACAGCAAACAGAGATAAACACTCTAGTAAAAGGTACATTTACAAGTTGAGAAAACAAAGAAAAACTAACACGCCTTGCCTGGCTGTTTACTTACAAGTTTGAAATATGAGAGACTTGTTTAGAAAGATGTGGAGAACCTGGATTGATGTCTGGTCCCTCTCAGTCCCAAGAGCGAACAACACCCAAAACAAAGAGCACAAACAAAAACCTTCCCCCGCCCCCCCCCCCAAGATTTGAAAGTATCTTGTACCCTTATTGGTCCTTTGGGTCAGGTGTCAGCCAGGTTACCTGAGCTTCTTAACCCTTTACAAGTAAAAGGATTTTGGAGTCTCTGGCCAGGAGGGATTTTATAGTACTGTACACAGGAGAGCTGTTACCCTTCCCTTTATAGTTATGACACCCCCAATCAGCCCATCTCCCCCAAAGCCCCAATTTTGGGTCACGTATTTCTGCTCCCCCACTTCTCCCATGTCCCAGGTGGGCCCCAGCCCGGCCCGTGGGTTCTGTCCGGCGGCTGGTCGAGTTGGACTAATCCCATCTTTCTGTCTCGCCAACTTTCCCCCCAACGTTCATTCATTCAGGTTCTCGTGACGCTGCCTGAACTTCTCACTCACCTTCGTCAGCTGAACCCCCCATGAGGGGACATTTGGAGGCTCCGTTATCACAGCCGCTTCCTGGGGTGGGGAGATTTGGGGGGCAGTGGAGAAGGAAGCTCTGGGGGTTTATACAATAGAAATGGAGGCTGGGGAGGTCTAGTGAGAAAGGGGGAGAGAAAAGGGGCTGGGGGACCCCAGTACAGAGAGAGGAGGGGGACAGACACCTGGGGGGCAGTAAGTGCCATTATTCCAGTGCCAGGGTGTGACTAAGTGGGGGATTTTTTGTTTTTTCTTGGTTTCAGTTGGGTTTCAATGGTTTGCATGGGGAGGGGGTGGGACTCAGTTTCCTTGGGTGTTACTGGTTTAACGAGGTGAGGGGAGAGGGAGTTTGTTGTTACAGAGGCCCGGAGAGGAAACTTGGGACCCCAGCCAATGGCCTGGAGGATGGATAACCCAGCGACCGGTGACATGAGACCCCGACCCGAAGACCCAGCTCAGGAGTTGCAGATGAGTTTGCGGACAGCAGATCGGGGGCAGGAGGGAGACCCACATCGGGGACTCAGAAGGGAGTGTCACAGAGTTGGGTGGGACACAAGGCCCTGCACCCCCGGTTTCCTGCGATTCACCATGACTCTCAGCCAGCCAGTAAAGCAGAAGGTTTATTTAGACGACAGGAATACAGTCCAAGACAGGTCTTGCAGGCACAGACAACAGAACCCCCTCAGTTAGGTCCATCTTGGGGTCCCAGGGCACCACAGCCCCCTTGGGAGGTCAGAGCCTCGTCTGCCTCCCAGCCATGTCACCAGCCAGCTCTGAACTCTCTCCCTAGCCTTTGTTCAGTTTCCCGGGCAAAGGTGTCACCTGGCCTCTAACCCCTTCCTGGGTTCTCATGTTACATGCTCAGGTATTCTCCCTCATGGCCAGTCTCTCATCCCCCAATGCAGACCATCCTAGCCACACTCCCCTTTTAGCATTCAAAGACCACAGTAAGAACAGTCCCAGTTCATCACAGGGAGTCACCCCGAGACCTCTCCAAGGTGGGACTTGAGGGACCTGAAATGTAATTACTGTGGCCAAAAGGGACACAAGGTGGCACAGTGCCTGAGGATGAAGGAAATGGTGGCGAAGCAGAACCCGCGGGGTGTCAACTGGGTGGAAGCCCCCCGAGAGGGGGCACCACTGGTCTAGGGGGGTGCAGCCGAGAGGGCTGTGCCAGGGGGAGGGGGAGTGCCAATGTTATAGCCGATGCTATACCACGGGGAGGGGGGGGGGCCTGAACTTCCCCAGGTCACTGGCTATGTGACCCTGCTCCGTTCAGCCTCGAAGGGGGGAGAGATGTGACAAAGTGGGGGATTTTCTTGTTTTTTTCTTGGTTTCGGTAGGGTTTCAATGGTTTGCATGCGGAGGGGGTGGGACTCAGTTTCCCTGGGTGTTACTGGTTTAACGAGGGGAGGGGAGAGGGAGTTTGTTGTTGCAGAGGACCGGAGAGGGAACTTGGGACCCCAGTCAATGGCCTGGAGGATGGATACCCCAGCGACCGGTGACCTGGCGACCCGGAGACCCAGCTCAGGAGTTGCAGCCGGTTCTGGCCAGTGGGAGGACAATGGGCTGCAGAGTGAGGATCCAGTGATCTAACCAGCCGGTTCCAGCCAGAGGACAGAAGCGAAGAGAGGAGGCCCCAGTTTACAACCCTGTTTCCCTGGAGAGAAGACAATGGACAGAGGTGGGGCTTGGGGGTGGGGATCTCAGATGCCCAGCTGGGAAGCAGGGGGGCTCTGGGCTGGAGAGGGGGAGCAGGCAGAGCCCACCGGGATGCAGGGGAGACTGGGATGTGCTGGGCTGAGGGAGGCCAGGCCCGAGGCCCTGAGAGTTTCCTGTGCTGTGTTCAACTCTCAATAAACCCTCCTGTGTTACGCTGGCTGGGCATCACTCCGGTCTAAAGAACAGGGTTGCATCAACCCCTTCGGGGGTGGAGGCCCGGTGGGTCCAGAGCGAGTGGACTCCCTGACGGGGCCCATGGCGAGAGACAGATGTGCTAAGGCTCAG